CAAATGTAATCACGATTATCACCCGACCAGATAGACAGTAAGTTTTGTGTTAAAAAAAAAAAAAAAAGAAAAAAGAAAAGAAAAAGAAAAAAAAAGAAAAGGAAAAAAACTCCCTCAGAGAGAGGGCAATCACTATTATTCACGGCAAGGCAGCCGTCGGTTGGGCGATCATATACAAAAACAAAAGTATGTCGACGAGAGCTGTTTTCTTGCACGTTCCGCTGTAGCAGAGCGTCGTACAGCGTCGTAGGGCAGTTGTAAGAAACCAAAGAATGACAGAAACCAGTCGCAGGCCCAAAACCGTCCACGAACCAGCTCGATCTGCGGGTTGCTAGGCCACCGTCCAGCCTTACGCGGATAAACCCATTGCACAACACAACGAAGAGAGGTTTGGGTTTGGGGAAACGGAGAAGATGCATGGCGTCACATGAAGCTTTTGCATACCGCAACAATGGGTGCGTTGGGTGGTTGAAACTGGGGTCTGCGCTATGATGAAGAACGGTGAAGCAGGACGGGACTCGGGCAAGGATCAAGCCACGACGATTCAGAGTAATAATGGGATTATATTTATTTTATTTTAGGTTATTTTAGCGTCATTGACTAGTTCGGTGGATTTCTTTTGGGACAGATGCATACGAGCTACTGTATGTATCATCAGGTGGGTTCATTCCATGCATATTGATTGCATTTTCACAGCTTGGACGGTACTCCATGCCCCGTACAGAATGTTGTCGACTCGGGGGAATTCCTCATACAGGGTAGTAATAGTATTATCTTGAGCGTCCATAGGGGTCGGACGACGGATCATGATCCCTTGTATCATGGCCGGCAAAGGGAGATTTGATGTCGGAACTCACTTCCCTTTCTGTCTCTTTGGGATCCAAGTAAGCCCTACGCAGCAACACTACGTCCTAACTCCAAACCTTTTTCGAGACTCGGCCCAATCGGAGAACGCCGTTCCGTATCGAATGTTTTTTTGCATCCCCCAGGCGTACTAGAGGCTGGGCGGGGCTTATTTTTTTATTTTTTTTTTTTTTTTCTCTTTTCGTTTTCTTTCCTTTTTTGCAGTACTCCACGTACGGAGTACACTGTACAGCATACCGTATTCCGTACAATATTTTGCTAGTTGGTTCTTCGCCTGCGACCCTTGTCCCGTCCTGTCCAGGGCCTGAGACCCAGACAACAGACATACGGATACCGCGCCAATACTGCGTCAATACCACACCATACCACACCAGGCCACCACCTTCTCCACTGCCGGGTCCTAGCGTGGCTGCGCACTGCCGATGATGCAGAGGGGAAGGGGAGCAGAAGCAGGAGCAGCGGTCATCGATTGACTCGACTCGACTCGTCGGCGCCCTCGCTAGCGGCAGACTGGCATGGCCGTCTGGCAGAGTGTCAACGTACGTAGCTAGTGCCGAGTGGAGAGTGGTCCTGATGGAGGCATTGGATGCCAGCCTATGACTGCTGCGGCATAGCGTGGACAGTGGCCTGCGTGTTGCGCCTCGCCTGGACTCCGCCAGAGTCACTCCTCCTGGTGCTTCTTGTTCATCTCCCTGTACTGCGTAGGGCAAACAAATCAGATCAATGATCGCTTTTTTGTTCCTCTCGGCGCTTTATAAAACTATCCCCGCCGCCCTTTGGTCCTCCTCGTCCTCCTCGCCTGCTGTTGCTTGCTCTCCTCTCCCCCTTGCCCCCTTTTTTTGGTGCTTCTGTTATACTGTTGACTATATTTAACTGGTTTCTCTTCCTGACTCCAACCTCTCTGCCAATGGATCTTCCCCTTCTGCCCTTTCTACCCTCAGCCTACCCCTAGCAGCGAAAGACAACGTCGCAGGGAAAACATCAAAAAGGAAAAGGTGAAAAAAAAAGAATAGAAATACAAATTATATCCGGTCGTACCCAAAAATAAATAGAGCTCGTCTTCCCCCGCGATTTGCCACTGCGAGATCTTCTCAAGCTCAAGCTCAAACAACTCCCACCACTCGATCAATCGCCATCCTCGTATAGTCGAACAACGAGCTAACTACAGAGTACTCCGGTACCACTCTCACTCTCTCCCACATCAATCTCTCCCTCTCTCCCTCTTGTCTCCTTCTGTGTCCCTTTTCTACCTTGCTGGCCTGTTCTGTTCATACCGCGATTCTGCCTTCTCATTGGCTGTGTCCGTTCAGTCCCAGCACCTCCGCCCAATCTCTAGTCCTGGCTGCGCCCTTCATCCTCGTCCACTCCTTTGTCAGTGCTCGTGCCCGTCGGCTCTTCTTCAGCCATTTTTACCCCTTCAGCTATCCAGGGACACATCCCCACGAACACCCTTCTCTTGTCTGAACAAGAGGACTGGTTCTCCTTCCACCTGTTCTTGCCCTATATATATTGTTTTTAACTACTGCGGACCGTCCCGTTTATCCTCCTTCCGTGGTTTCATGCTTGGCACCAGTTGCGAACATCAGCAAGTGCCGCGAGGCATCCAGCAGTGCGTTGTTCTGACGAAAATTTAATTTGGGAACAGACAGGAGAGGGAAGGTAAAAAAAAGAAAGAAAAGAAAAAGAAAGGAAAAGCGACTGGTACGGTGATTCGCGGCCCATAATCCCGGTTCTTTTCCTTTTCCTATTTCCAATATTGTGATTTCTTTTTCTGCTTCTGATCCAATTCGGATATAAACCAGGCCCAGTCAGCTGACAGCGCTCTATACAAAATAGCCAAAAAAACATATTTGCTTGATACTGCGCTGACATTGGCTCCCGTTCCGCGTTTTTTGCTTTTTGATGAACGATCTGATCTGCTCACAAGCCACGCCAGAAAAACTTTGTTGCTGGTGTCTCTGTTTTTCCCCTTCCTTGCCGCTTCTATCTGCCTGCGTGGTGAGCAGAAAAGGGCGCTTCCGCCTTTCTTCCTTTCCAACGGCCCAACAATGCTAGCGCTGGAGCGTTCTCGTCACGAGCAATCCTATCTTCAGCAACTCTCGATGGATCCCTCGGTGCATGATCCCTTTGGGTTCGCTGAATATTGACGCTACATCATCTGGACTACACCGTTCCCGTAAGGCACACTTCTTTCATAGAGGCTCCTTCGTTCTTGGTAGAGGCCCCCCAACACTCCTATAGCGACGGCCATCCCAGCAATCAGAAATTCGAGTCCTATGCGCATCGCCCTTCTGCTTCCCCCTCTATAGCCACTGCCTTCTCCTCCGACCTCAGTACGTCGACAAACTCATCCGCATCTGGCCCTTCGCTGCCAAGCACCTCGTCGTCTACCATCGGCTCTCCGTACCAGGATAGCTGGATCGACATGAACAGCACTTCAGGACTAGGTCCCGCCACTGTGGGTGGCGATGGTTACCCGCAGGAGTACGTCAGTGCTTCCATGGATGGTGAGGCGCTGTTTGCGCATGAAAAGCTCCCGGATAGCTTTGTGGGTGAGTGCGAAAATATTTTTCCTTCTGTCCAGCTTTCGCAGATGCCCGAACTGCCTTCGAAAACTACCCAGCTTGTAACAAAACCTTCTGTATCTGCATCCGCATCCGCATCTCCTCCAGTAGTAGATGGTCGTTCTGGTGCACTTTCTTCCTCTCCTTTTACATGGCCACACTCAGATGTTGCAGCCCTGGCTAGCAAGAATCAACAAATTCAATCCATGTCACCCCCCTCAAGCACTGCCACTCTGGCAGGAGGGAGATTATCGCGCAAGTATTCAAGCAGCGGAACCAGCGGACGCGGGCGTGCGCTGGTCTCCCCAATAGTCCGGTCGCTGAGTGGTGATTCTCCGGTTCCGGCCAAGCGCTCGTCAGAGATGCGCAGCAGAAAGCGGTCTATGACCCAAGACTCAGACATGACCACCTTTGAAGCGAGGAAAAGGTCCACTACAGAGGCCAGAATGAAACAACGAGATATCCTGCAGTCTCCAAAGAGAAGCCCTACTAAGCCTCCAAGCTCCAGACAGAAGGAGCCTTTTGAAAACTCTTTCTTTAAACAGAGCAGCGGGAATTTTGTGCCGCCGCTCGAGTCATCTTGTTGGTTTTTTCTTTCTTTTTTTCTAAATTTCCTACTTGATACCCAGTACAAACTACTTTGCGTACTTCTTGTGTTTGCTGTTGACATGATTTTTTTTATATTCTCTTGTTATTTCATTATGATACCCAACGCTGTGGTGGTTCTACAATTCATGTCCTTGTCATGTTTTTGTTTTCGTTTCCATTATTTCGCGCATTTGAGGTACTTTTTTGTCTCTTGTCTCGTATGCTATGGTCGCTAACGTATCGCTTGGCATGTATAGATCCGTCTTTGATCCAACCAATGCAACAACAAAGCAGCTACCCACCCCCGACCCTGTCATACACAGAAGAAATCCAGTATGCTTTTGCACGATCACCCATCTTCAACTCCACATCTCCTGCCGCATCGCCTTTACCCCAATCCCAAACATCACACCACCCACAACACCACCAGTCCGCTCTCCCCTCTCCTTATCTTACACAATCCGGATTCCCTCCTCGGCCGTTTTCGTTTCCTGGAAGAAGATCGTCCATCTCCTCTCAGAATTCGCGCCGGTCACAACACAGTCCCCTGGCGGGTAGTGTCGATTACGAGGAAAAGGGAAAAGAGAAGGGTCGTTGTCCCCACCCGGATTGTGGGCGGGTATTCAAAGATCTGAAGGCCCATATGCTCACCCATCAATCAGAGCGACCGGAGAAATGTCCGATCGTAACCTGCGAATATCACCTGAAGGGGTTTAGTCGGAAATATGATAAAAATAGACATACATTAACACATTACAAAGGGACGATGGTGTGCGGCTTCTGTCCCGGTTCCGGCTCTGCTGCAGAGAAGAGTTTTAACCGTGCGGATGTGTTCAAGCGACACCTGACTTCTGTTCATGGCGTGGAGCAGACTGCGCCAAATAGCCGGAAGAAAACGCCGCCTACGTCAAACCGAAAGGCTGCAACCTACAGCCATGATTCGACAGGAAAATGCTCGACATGTTCCTCAACATTCATCAACGCGCAGGAATTCTATGAGCACTTGGACGACTGTGTTCTGCGGGTCGTCCAGCAGGAAGAGCCCAGTGAAGCCATCAATCTTAAACGATTGACAGAGGTGGCCTCTGACGATGCTGTGCGACAGACCATGGAGAAACACATGCTTGTTGACACGGCCAGTGACGCGATAACGAACAATACCCAAACCGACGACCATGATGATGATAACAATGATTCTAACGACCTTTCAAATAACGACACCACCAATAGCAATAATAATACCACAAACACCGAAGGCCTATCCGCTGGTAAAGGCTCTCTAACACCATCCGCCTCATCAATCGCCGCCACCACCAATCCCACCTCATCCTCCTCTATGCTCTCCAAACCCTCCACCACCCTCACAGCCTCAGGCATCACAAAACCCCGCTCAGCCACCTCCCGCCGTCGAAACAACCGCAACAACTACCCCCCATCCTGGGGCAGGCCAACCAACAAAATGAAAATGAAAAAACGCGTCCTCTGCCTCTTCGACGGCCAGCGCCGCCTCTGGAAAGACGAGATGATGCTCGACAATGAATTCGAGGTGCGCTTGAAGTTACTCGGCGGTGCCGATGGCACTGACAATTCCAACGTCCGCGATGCGTATGTTACGGATTTGGACGTGGAGACGCTGAAGCGTGCTGAGGCAGTGCATGGGGCTACGGAGGAGGAGAGGGGCCCCTGGGATGGGAACATGGGCGGCGCAGGCGTTGTTGGACTAATGGGTCCCGCTGCGGTGCCGTTGTTGAGACACATGCCGGAGGGCGGGCTGGTTGATGAGGTGGATATTGATGAGTTGATGGCGTGAGTGTGGATGTGGATGTGTGTGATCATTCGAATTTTGGTTTTCGTTGGGCTGTTTCGCGATAGATGGGATTGGGCTGGTTATATATCTATGGGGCATGGAAAGATATTGAGACCATTGTTTTTTATTTTATTTACTTGAGATTCTCCCCCCCTTTCCGTTTTATTCACGTCCCCTTGCTTCACGGTCAACGATTTTCGTGTTCCTTTATGTTGAATTTACTTTTCCATTTAATTATATATTTATTACCATTAGCTGGTCTGTGGTCCTTCCTCCCCTCCTGTCTTCGTTTTCTGCACCATGCCTCTTTTTTCTTTTTCGTGGAATATTATCATCTTTTAGTGAACTGTATATATCAGCGTATAAACTATTTAACATCTTCCACCGTCATTTCCTCCATCGTATCTCATGATTGGTTGTATCTACTGCAGGGACAACAGCAATCAAGGCGGATAGGAGTTCTAGAGTTCTAGATCGGATACGGATCTACTGATCTACTACTGATCACGTCTTTCGAATCATTCCTCCTTCATTTGCTTGAGGGACATACATACTATTCGCTTCTTCGTTTAGTTTAGTTTTCTTTTCTTTTCTTTTCTTTTCTTTTTTCTTTCTTGCGCAGTGATATGAAAATCTCTCGTGGCTGACATAATTATTTTCCCAAGAGACTTGATTGAACTCAATCAAACGTGCAAATATCACAGTAACCTCAGCCAAGCAATTAAGTCATGTGATCGTGCGATAGCTGGATAACCCTTTAGGCCTAACAAGGTGAGCCCCATTCGTTCTGCGTCTTGCACGGTTTTGAAGTTAGCTTCCCGCCTGGTTAGGGGTCTATCTATTCCGTATGAGTGTGTCCCTAGTTACTTCATACTGTGTCGTCCGCGAGAAACATTTTGAAGTTGGTTTGTGAAGCTGAATAGTTACTAAAAGTCCTAGTCAGTAGTTTTTGCCCTGCCTTTTGCCTTGCCCTGCCCTGCCCTACCTCTTGCAGCTAGCCAACGTGGAAAGTTCCTATGTAATGCAGCTGTTGCTGTAAATGAATGAAATATCCCAAGGGGTTTTCTTTTTTTTTTTTTTATGCCAATTTCATTTTCCTGTCCCAATTTTTTTTTTTTTTTTTTTTTTCCCTTCTTGAATCTAACAAAAGCGAACGTAAATAGTTAGGGGAGGGGTGGGAAAAAAAGAGAGCCGAAGAATTATCCCCGTTCACTTAACACCCAGCGCAACGCAACGCAACGCAACGAAACGCAACGCAACGCAACGAAACGAGTAACTCGCGCGGCCTGAGAGATTGGAAGCCCCATAGCTATCGGAACGCGGGGAAACGCCCTGGACGGAGATAGGCGCGCGGGCGGGGAAAATCTTGCGAAAGCGGGAGGTGGGAGGAAAAGACAAACGAAAGAAAGGGGAAAAAAAGAAAAAAAGAAAAGAAAAAAAAAAAAAAAATCCAACCGTTCGTTCCGTCCATATAATATAATTCCGAACAAAACCCAGCACCGACAGAGAGATCCCAAGTTGGGAACTTTTTTTGCGCGGGGCCTTTCTGAAAGGAGGGGCGGGGGACCATTTCGAAAAGTCGTCCTGGTTCGTCGTGGTCGTCGTCTGGGCGAAGAGATATCATATCGATCGGGTTCCGGCACAGAAATAACAACGGAAACAACAATAACACACACACACACACACACATCCTATTTCAGCCCCGAAAAACACGCGCACGCGATAACATCGATACATCGGGTTGTATCCGTCGACACGGCACTTTTCATTCTGATCCACTCGTTTTCCGTAACTAGACGTATCTGTCGAGGTATTTTCAGTTGGTTGTCGAACGGTTCCCAGGTTTTCTTTTCTTTTCGCTTTTCTTCTTCTTCTTCCACCCTTTTGCGACTGGCATGGAGTCGCTTGCTAGCCCGTCTCCGTTTGCGGGGCTTGCAGATGTGGAGATGGTTATGGGGCTCGGGGATGGTGATGGTATTGGAAACAGTAAGGTTGGTAAGAAGGACGGAAAGGGTAAGGTTGTCAGAGTCGAAGGTATGATGATTTTTTCCAAGTTCCTGGATGGCACTGCACTGTATGAGAGCGAGTGAGGGTGGTGGGTGGAATCTTAAATTTTTGAAATCTTTTGCCTTTGAGATGATGAGAGTGGAGAGGTTGAATTGTATAGCTAAGGGATTCATTCTTGTGCAGAGCCGCCAAAGTTCGATCTGGAGTCCTATATCAGCAATTATAAAGGTATGTTTTGTTTTGTCCTCTGTGTATTAGGGGTGCATTGGGTGTTCTTCTGAACCGCGTCGTACCTACAGGGAGAACGAAGTTTGCTAGACTCTATCTGATCGGAACCTGCTCGACGTTTCTCTCCGTTGAGGCTTTGAAAATGGCAGTTGTAAACGCCGAAGGGGGAAAAGATGTGGGTTCTTATACCAAAGCTGTGGAAGCTTTGGCACGCGTCGCTCCGCAGGATCCAGAAGCTAAGCTTGATACTGCATTGGGTTGATCATACATCAAGAGTGGTGAAAGCTGAGACAGATCGGCTGGAGCGTGAGCTCAAAGGGATACAAAGAACAACCTGATCAAGGAAAGCATTCGGGTGCGTGAACCTTGTCGCCTGTTGTTGTTGTCCCAATCAACACATCCTGAGACATTACTTATTCTTTCTTTATCCAGATGGGCAATGAGGACCTGGGCCACCACTACCATCTCATCGGGGACCTGCCATCCGCCTCCAAAGCCTACTCTCGAATGAGAGAATACTGCACCACCACGTCCCATATCGGTTCTATGCTTTTCAGGAACATCCACGTCGCCATCGACCGCGGTGACTGGCTGGGCGTCCAATCCAACGTGCAACGTCTGCGCAATCTTCAATTCAAACCCGAAGACGAGGCCAAAAACAAAGCCAAGATGTTCGCCGCGCTCGGCCTTTCCCAGCTTGCCTCATCCGCCTACCACTCAGCGGCGATAAACTTCCTGTCCACGGACCCGATCCTAGCGGACAACTACAAAGAAGTAATCTCGGCCAACGACATTGCAGTCTACGGTGGTCTCTGTGCCCTTGCCTCCATGGACCGTGCTGACCTCCAGACCCACGTCTTGCAAAACAAATCCTTCCGCAACTTCCTGGAACTGGAGCCCCATATCCGCCGCGCCATCTCTTTCTTCTGCGCGTCGAAATTCCGTCCGTGTTTGGACATCCTCGAGGCCTACCGTGCTGACTACCTCCTCGACATTCATCTCCAGAAGCACGTGCCTGTGCTCTACTCCCGCATCCGCACCAAGGCCATGCAGCAATACATCATCCCTTACAGCCGCGTGATGATCGACACGATGGTTAAAATCTTCTCGCCAGACCAGGCTGCGCTAATCAAGCGTGACGGAGGCACCATAGACTTGCAGTCGCCGTTTATCGTTGAGCTGATCGATTTGATCCAGAAGGGCACGCTGGATGCGCGCATTGATGTTGAGAAGGGCGTGCTTGTCACCAAGCAGACAAATACGAGAGAGGATGTGCAGGCGGCGGTGATCCAAAACATCAAGGAGTATGTCAATGCTGCCCACATTCAGTTGTTGCGGATGAATATTTTGCATGCGGGCTTGGAGGTGCCCCCTGTGGGCGCTGAAGCGGATGGTGGGCCTGCAGGTATGCGTGCCAGAGCTGCTGCTGCGGAGTCTGTGATGAGAAAGGGGTTTCCGCTGGGGAAGGGATTGAAGGGCCCGTTTAAAGGGAAAGATTGATGTTGCGGCTGATAAGGGAGGTTTGGCAAGTTAAGAATTCATTGTCAATGCTTTTGAGGGATTTTTTATGGGGTATCAGAAGCAACGTTGCTACGTATGCATGCCCGGTATGCCTGATGTGTTAGTATGAGTTTTTAAGATCCTCTAGTTGATGATGGCTCAGCGAAGGAATGAAATTAATGTTAATCATTCAGCCGTTTTATATTTACAACATTCTACCGTAAAAACTATGTTCACAATTCGAACTAATGTAAAAGAAAAGAAAAAAGTTACATCAACACGACACTATCCCTTGCCGGTTGATGATATAGAAACATTATCATAGTTATCATAAACCCATTACCCATATCGCAACATCTACAAACCCGCTACTTCCTCACAACTTCGCCCCCTTCGTTATAATTCTCACATCCTGAAACGGTATGCCCAAGAACTGCCACATGTAATGGCCACTGATCACTGCCGAAGAACGGCTCAGCCTTCCCCTGTGCATTTGTCACCCAGAACCACGGCGCCCCAAACGCACCCCGATCCAACGCCTCCTTCGTCCGATCGGTCAGCGCCTTTTTCCCCTCAGGGGTCTGTGCGCCTTTCATGATGGTTTCGATTTCCACGTCGCTGTACTTCTCCTCGCGGAGCAAGGCCATCATGTTCTCGGGCTTGCTGAGGTCGATGTGCCGGTAGAACATGTAGGTCCAGTACAAGAGGAAGGTTTTCTCGAAGCGGTCCCGGGGGTAGTTGGCCTTGAGATAGGTGGCCACACGTTGAGGCTTGCGGGAGGTTGAGGTGTTAGTAAACCAGAGGGCCATCCTAATCCACAATCCACATACGAGAGAGGATACCTGGATCCATCCCGAAGGGGGAGAAAGGGGGCAAAGGGTATACCAGAATTGTGACGGGGGGGAAGAATGGTGGAGGAACCATGTCTGTGACTTTGAAATACCGGGAGGCTCGTTGACGGTCAAATTGGCCGTATTTTGCCTTCGCTGGGTTTGTCCAGGGAGGTGTATTGCCTTGCGGGGAATAGATGGTTAGCTTCTTGCGATTCTATTGTAGTTGATATGGTGCATACCTGAGCCAGCATTGATTCCTCCCAGGAAAACTGGGAATATCCTAGAATACGAATAGAGTAATTTTAATATTGGTTCAATTGTCCCACGAACTGGTTATGCTTGAATATGTCGAATACATACTCGACCTCTATGCCATGCGATGCTAGCACCTCACGGTTCCTGAGGAGGTGTAGGAAAGCAAAAAACGAGTAAGGAGAGGCTATGGTTATGTTGAAAGGGTCAGCATAAATGTTCCTGGTAGCAATGAAGGAGTGGAGGACTTACGGCAGTCGAGATATGTTTCTATCTTTGCACCCATAGTGTCGGATTAAGCTTGCTGCTGAGAGCGTCGAATGGATGGGAGGATACTAGTTATATATACATACTACTATTCTATTACCACGAAGGGAGTTGAAAAAAACAATTGCACGTTAATATCCAACGGGAATGCAAGATCAAATGGCCCCGGGTATTTATCTATGATCTTACTCTGGAGATCTCCAGGCTATGGATGATTGCGCCAAAATAATTAATAATCTAGGATATTTCCTTCGTATCGTGATGCCTGGATGCCGAGGTTCAGAGCTCTCTCGGCCCCAGAACCATGATTTGTTACGAAAATGGGCGCAGTCCAGAGCAAACGGACCAAGAGCGAGAGTTACTGATAGGTTCCCTTGAGAGAGTTGAAATACGAGTTCGCTATGAAGAATTAATAATTCGTTAAAACCGCAAAGGCTCATCGGCTGAGAGAAAACATTTGACCTGGGAGACAAAGGCGTTACACATAGGTCCCTGTGGTTCTGCTCGCCCTTAGCAATACACCCTTTCCTGTCTTTCCCGTTGCATAATAACCATGGCAGCTACCAAACCAGTAGCATTGGTGATTGGAGCGTCCCGTGGAATCGGCCGGCAAATAGCTATAGGCCTGGCAAAGGGAGGTTATGCTGGTTCGTACAGATTTGTTCCCCCCTCGAGCTTCCATTTGCCGATATAATATACTACTAGTTCAGATATATCTTGCCAATTATGATACAAACGCAACAACATTTGCTAATTAAACCAACCAAACAGTGGTCGTATCTGCAAAAACAACTTCCGACGCAAGCAAAACGACTCCCTTCCCGCCTGACCCCAACTCCCCACAGTCTACCATCAACACGGTAGAACGGGGAGATCCGGGAAGCAGGCGGGCGATGCGGTCGCACTGGCAGTGGACACTAGAGATGTAGATACCATCAGTCATCTCGTGCAACAGACTGTTGAAATATACGGTAAACTGGATGTTCTGGTTTACAACTCCGGAGCCATATGGTGGTCATCCGTTGAAAATACGCCTGTTAAACGGTTCAAACTGATGCAACAAGTTAATCCAGAAGGGCTGTATGCTAGTGTACAGGCAGCATTGCCCTATTTTGGGAAGAATGCGTGGAGGGGTAGGATTGTGGTTGTATCACCGCCAATTTATTCGAGATTCTTTAGGGGGAAGACGGCATACGCCATGGGTAAGTTGTCCTTATGCATGCATTGTGGGCTTCATTTTGTTGTGAGGTTGGGTGGCCAGAGTCAGGGAAGGCATTCTTCTGATGAAGATTGAATTTATATGGAATTAACTTATGGATCTTATTGTATTTTCTTAGGCAAGGTCGCAATGAGTGTTCTAACCAAAGGGTTGGCGATGGATTTTGTTCGCCAGGGACGCAAGGACATGGCCATCACCAGTATATGGCCTGCTGTGGTATGTTCTGGGTGTTAAATCACCCCGTAAACGATTTCCTTTTCGCTATTTCCTATTCCATCAATTTTTTCACCACATTTCTAGAAGGAGCCAGGAGCTGTATAACTAAGCCATTAAAATAGTCCATTGAATCCGCTGCAACAAAAAGATCCACAGACCAAGAGCCATCACTTGCAAAAGATCTGCGAAAGCCCGTATGATATATATCCAAGCGCCCCTTCAAATAGAAAGGCAATAAAATAAACTAACATCCTCCCCCATCTTTTCAATAAAAGACAATTTTCTCTGACGCCATTCTGGGGATTCTCCATGCTCCCGCATGCGCCGTAAATGGCCTCCTGACTCTAGATGAAGACTTCCTACGAGAATACTGCAACGTATCGGATTTCTCTCAATATAACGTCGTGCCAGGTTCCAACCCGAGGAGAATTATGCCCGCAAAATTCCCTGTTCTAGAGGTTGCGGAGCAGGACGACGAGGGGAGGAGAGTTGATAGTACAGCTCTCAGACTTGCAGAGGGGAAATCGAGACTGTGATTGGGTTGATTTCTTCTTTTGGCTTAGGAACAGGCTATCTGCCTACCTGTATGATAATTTTCGCTCGCCCCCCTTTAGGTGGAAGGGGCCGTTGTGGCGGGATTAGTTGGATCTTCGTTCATCAACCAGTGTGCCAACAGAAACATATTTCGCGACCGGCGGTCAACAAATCGCAATGTGGAATCGAAATTGCTTTGCAAGAATTGGCACGGATCGGCCTCCAGAATATTTTATACTCGTTGTCCGGCTCGAATTAATAACTACAGAACTCAATGGAATTCTGGCCTCCGTTTAGAAAGAGATAATCCCATTAATTGCCCGGGGTATTATCATACGACTCCTTCCAGCAGATGCGACCTAACTACCAACTGTACTGTCATCAGAAATTGTCGTTGCCATAGGACTGAGTTGAAACATCTCGTACGGCTCGGTCGCAGATACCTCCCCTTCAATTTCCAGCTTTCCCCTTTTCAGAGCGATCAAATCCAACAGCCGGTCAATCAACAGAGCTGCAAAGTATATAAAAGAACATTAGGCTCCATTACAGTAGTCCTGTTGCTTTTGCCAGAGAAGGCGAGGAGCACGAATATTCTTGCGGGATGGGATGGACGAGTAACTCACCTACGAATAACGCCAACGTAAACGTGAAAATAATCAGTGGACTCGTCATAAATCTATAGATAAGATCAAAATTTGCCACGATTGTGACCATGGCTAGCAGTATAATTCCCAGCAGAACACGTGTTGTAATAGCCACCCATGCATAAATCCTTCCAGTATGGCGCTGGGTAAGGAAAACAAAAGCGGCGAGTATGAACATGGCAAGCGACGCGACAACGAAATAGTATATGTACACAAACCCAAGCAGTCGCAAGTACAACATCAGCAACTTTTCACTCTCTACCACGTCTACGGGGAGTGTTATCCCCATGCTTGAAAACAGACTCGCTGTCACATTTCCCATCAGGTCATGGGAGCGCTGAAGTGTGAGGGATCCGGGGTTATTCATCGACGGACACAGTTGGGGGCTATCTCGAAGAGTCTGCAAGATATATTGTATACAGCGTTGCTCTTTAAGAGCACCTTTGGTATAGTCTATATCCATGTCCACGATCGTGCTGTTGAGCTGGTCGATAGCAAAATTCGGGTCCGGACGGGGCGGTTCACATGCAGAGAGAATCGTGTTGCTCAGATATTTGAGTTTGAGGGATATATCCAAAGTAAGGACTAGAATCTGGGATCCTTCTGAGAGAAGGACAACCATAACATGGAATGGGAAATGCAGCTGCGTCCAGATCTGTTGGTTGGTAATTCCATATTTCATACGGGGCGAAATATCGAAGTATGATTGCCATAAAAGGTACTAATGGGAACATTAATCGTACTGTTAGTCTACTAAATGTTGGGAATATGACTTACTACTCCCATAGTTACACCAAGTATATGAACAAAGGACCACTTTGACCAGCCTGAAGAGCCAACTGTCTGATTGACGAGCCTAGTTACGGAGATAACGCCTTCCCCAATAATTATCAACGTCAGAAGTCCCATTCGAACGTTGAGATGGGTATCTTCAAAACCAATTCCGGGTGTGCGACTCGACACTGACATCACAACGAGCGTTTCGATTGCGAATATCAAAAACCAAGAAGCCCACACATACTCTCCCTTGGTGCCCGTGTTATTGTTAAAAACGAAGTAAAGCTAATCAATGAGTTAATGTTGTTCTTCCCAGGAGCAGTTGCTTATGACACTTACCCCCGTATAGGTAACTCCTGTTCCGATAAAAACTGCGACGATAAACAGCAACCTTTTGGAAGCCACTTGCATTGTGCCATATAAGAATATTGAGGCTATTGAATATTCGACACTTAATAGCAGGCGGCTACAGGCCAGAAGGATGCTCAACGAAAGAAATGCCCAGACGTTCTCATCGCGAACTTGTGTGGCGAAGCCGGAGCCGGTGGAAGCAAACCCAACCATAGTCGCAAGCTGGAGTGCTTTGCAAATCCTCTCGAATATTGAATCCTGTGCAAAACGTATATCGAACAGGGACACCTGAAACCACGTAAACCAGATGATGCTGAGGAAGCCAATGTAAGACCACAGTGCTGATATTGTAAATAGTAGTATCAGCACGAAGTGCTCTGACTCTTGTGGTGACATGATAATTCTACCTACCTTCTAAATTATTTATTTCGCGGGTGGCGGTGAATGTAGACAGATTTGCGACGAAGAAAAGGTCGAAGAATAATTCAATGGGAGTGGAATCGGTATGATGGTTAAGACGTGGATACCCTCCGTCTGTGTTGTCAAGTGGTGATGCAATCCACGGAACGCAGCGTCGTGGGTTTCTAGTAGACAGATTAACAAGCTTGATTCAACAACTCGTCTTATGCCAGAACATGAAGATTACCTCTTTCTTGAGTTAAGGTGGATAGGTCGAGCGTCCTGCCGGAATGTCAAAAATAGTGGACGACCCATGATGATACGCTCGAATAAAAATAAAGCTCGGACTAAGTCCTCCAAATTAAATAATATAGAATGTAATGCAATATAGCATTCCCGCTGAGGTCTGCTCATTGTTTCGACAGAAAAGTGGCTCACCCAGTTTGAGGGAAGGCGCGAATTTCGAATCGGGCCGCCGTGCTATTATTGTATCGCTACAGCAGCAAGAACAACGGGTTATATCAAGGATAAGTCGCATTTCATTTAATTGGCATATTGTTTGCGCTTCAGTCAGCCAGAAACTCCGTCCTCAGATGGTAGTTCGGAGCGTCCTCCTAGGTTTTCCAGTCCACGGTCTCCGTGGACATCAGTCCCTGATGCGAACATCTTGTCACCCGGATTGAGCCCTGCTTCTGCTCTGAGCCTCTCGTAATTTTCCCCAGCTTCCTTCAGTAACGTTTGGATCTCCGACTCTCTTGCCGATATTTCAGCTTTCTCTATTCGAAGCTCCTCCATCCTCAATACAAGTTGCGCTTTTGAGTTTTCCATCGCGTTGAGGGAAGTCCTGAGACGGGCCAAGTTGTCTGCGAGGCGGGGAAGAGGTGTTATTTTAGGTGGCGTTTTCGGTCGGGCAGGAAGGCTTTCGTGAGTGCGTCGCAGACCGTCCATTCCCGCTCGAGTTTGAGAAGCTTCATAGGCTGCTTTGCGTTCTGCTTCAGAGTCGTCCGCCTCGGAAGATTCTTGGGCCTCATCGATCAGCTCTTTCATCTCTGCCCGCTCTCGCCTTTGTTGTTCACGCTCTGCTTTCCTGCCTACAGCAATTATCCCATCTTCCACATATTCATCAAAACCCTCCGCGAAATCTTCGTCATCCCTAACAAGCCTCGTTTCTACTTTTCCAGCCTTCCGTGACAATGACCAGTCATCGTCACCCGCATCGTCCAAAGAGATGAAATCCTCTTCGTGACCTTGACCCTGTTCCATGGCAAGGCGGGCACGCCTTTCCTTCTTCTCACGTATCTCAGCATCAGTGGGGATGACGGATGGTTTTGACACCTGCACAATCTCTCCAAACTTCGCGGATATATCTAACTGTTTTTCTCTTTCGTCCTCACTCGAGGGCATCGACACCGTCTGCTTCGGGGTGGATGGGGTAGAATTACGCAGTTCCCTCAGATATTCTTTATTGTAAGTCGGGCGATCTTCTTCTTGGCCGACACGAAGAGGTATGCTTTCCGACGACCCCAATGGTGCCCAGGTCCGCTGTAATCCATTTTGTTCCTTTATGGGTTTCCTAGCTCCAAGCCTTTTGGGTGTGATCACTTCGCCTTCAGTTGTCTCCTCAGCATCGGCCATAGAAGTGCCCCCGGGTCCAAATGAGAGGCGCAATTTTGATTTTTGTTTCGGTTTCGTGTTCGGTCTCCGGATGACTTGCTCTGGATTTTCTTAAGGTCAGACCATTTAAATCTTCGCGCACCTCATATAATCTTGTCAAATCGAATGGAGAGTACAAACCTTGTTCACTGCCATTTTGCGCATCATCGTCTTCATCTGTACCAACCTTGCGAGCCTTGCGACGATTAGCAAGAAGAGAGCTCATATTCCTCCCGCCACAAAGGCAAATATGGAAACAAACACAAAATGGGATGTAGTTGTGCTCACACAAAGCTCTTTTCGTAACTCTACCGTCGCCAGAGCTATGTAGTGTATGTAATTCTCGGCAAATCATTGTTCCGCCGCTGATCCGCCTTTGACCTTCTGGAGTTGCGATCCGCATCGGTTTGAACAAGACATTCCTTGACAACAACCAAGGCTTCTTTCAAAAATGCCTCAAGCTCAGCCAGAATTGAAGAAGGTATGTCTAGAATAAGAATTTTTATCTCAATATCCAGCTTCCCATAAAACTCCGACGACTAACCCGCGCGCGTTGACATTTAGTATATGGAAAAGCGGTTGTTCGTTCAACTTAACGGCAATCGCAAAGTCATCGGAATCCTTCGCGGCTACGATGTACGCGCTTCCCCTCACGTCTTATTTTCCCTTAACTACTTTCCTGTTTCCTTATAGACATCTCATCCTATCATTTTCTTGCTTCTGTGCTCTTACCCTGATATCTATATGGTTTTTTATTTGAAACCACCTCCGTTACCTGGGGCATTGTCTAATATTTGAATATAATTCAGGTGTTCATGAACATAGTAATGGACGAAGCCGTCGAAGAGAAAAGCGGAGGAGAGAAAGTGCGCCTAGGCATGGTGGTATGTGTTGATTTTTTTTTCCTTGTGACCTATGCCTTTTGCAATATGAACTAAGTTGACCGTGTTGCAATCTTCTGTCTGTTAGGTCATTCGCGGAAACTCCGTCGTTATGCTGGAGGTTTGTTCCCGTCTTTCACATTTAGTAGAAATACAGGACAAGCAAATAGCTAATAATACTTTTTCTTCGTCACTGATAGGCACTCGAGAGAATTGGCGATCGATGATACCCAGCAGCTGTACCTCGAAGAGAAATTCTGGCGTGTTAATGAATTCAAGAAACAGGCGGATGGCTCCCTTGCTACCCTCAATTAGTGTCTTATCATATTGCGATAACCAAGAAATGTTTTTGTCTCTGTTCCCAATTTAGTTTAAGGAGTTTAAGGGAAAATGAAAATATATTAAATGAAATATGAATGAAAAAATCCAATATCCCACTGAAAGTCCGGCTCGACGCCCAGGGCTGGTTGTCCAAGAAAATATGGGTTTTTATCGATAGGGTCCTAAGTTGGCGGAGGTAATTGTTGGTAAAATACATCACGTATAATTGTTCTCCATGCTAGTGTTAAATAGCGCTATTTAGGTTCTCCCTTTTGCTTTTCCGTCCTGAGAAATCCCACACAAATTGCCCCCCATGGATTCCATCCTCATCCCATGTTTTCTCACGACAGGGGCTTTCCTCTCCTTTAAAAGTGGGGGGGGGGGGGGGGAGAATGAGATAAAGAAAAAAGAGAGAGAAGAGAAATATGCCCTACAAACACCTCAACGTAACGAAAATAGCCATTTGACATAGTAGTAAACCCTGTCATTTATAGCCCAGATAAAGGATAAAGCAAAGAAGAAACAAAAGGAAAGAAAAGGCCGTAACATTAGGTAGTCAAATGGGCGAACGCTGTTTGAATTTTAATTTCAATTTCGGCATCGTTGTTGACGGGGGGGGTTGTTGCGAGTTGGCGGGAGATGATGTCAAAGAGAGCTTCGGAACTTTCAGAGTGAGTTTATGGCTGAGCGGCGCAGGAACGCCTTCCTCGCGTTTCCTTTTCAGCGTACCATTGGGAGCGGGCGCCGCGACACCTCCTTTCGCCGGTAGAGCAGTGCGGAAACGGCTTCCCTTGAAAAATCGGAGCTTGCCCTTTATTTTTGGCCGTGTTAATTCTCATGTGCCAATAATGGCATAATAAAAATGTTGGAGAAGTGGGATGGAAGTATCTTACATGTCCGAGATTTTCTAATTTCCAGTACCGAGGATATTTGAGAACGACCATTATTTTATCAATGGGGTGGTATAAAACGCTGCAAATGTCGACGAAATCACTTAATTCTGCTAAACCCACCATGGGCGAATTGCACGCTGCCCATAGTGCTTCTTTTAATGCCGTGTTACCTTCGACCTCACGCTTCAGTGCCTCTAGAGCACCAGGAACTGTTTGCCTGCGGGCAAGACTAGCCTGGCGCACTTCAGTAGATGACTCCTGCTCGATGATTAGGCCGTTGGTAGGCTCCAGTTGTTTTTCAACATTACGGTCGCCAAAAGCGACGGGAGCAAGCCCTCGACCAAATGAGATATGCAGATTGTGTCGAATCCAGGGTGACGGATCCGCAGACATCACATAAATGAACCATGTCAGCAGCTCAGAGTTTTGGAAGATGTCGAAGTCGATCAATATATTGAAAGCATCCAGACGAAGCATTTCATAAGTACCAGCTCTGTGTATGGAAGGAACTGCATAATGTCCCGATCGATAACGTTAGCTTGCATGAGCCGCCGCTGGCATTCAATTGCGGTTCTTGAATAGATGTTCTGGAAAGATGTTGTCCATTCGTCCATTCTTCTATAACGATCAATCTCAGCAATGCAATCCCGATCGAGTTGCCGTTCTGCTTGGCGCTCTAATTCCCTTTCCACATCAAAATCAACACCAACGCCGTCAATTTCGGTTTCTCTTCGCCCAAGCAAAGCTTCACATATGGACTTCATAAGCGCGGTAATATAATAACAATCCGAAAGCTACTCATCGTATCAGCAACCCTATCACAGCTCAAGGAATGAGAGTGATACTATACCTCATTGTTGGAATTATCATTAAACTTTAATTTATCATAGAGAAACCGTTTCACTCTCATGGGTGTCTTGCCGGAATTGTCTCGAACTTGTGCAATCGCTTGGGGTATGGTAAGCTGGAGAATATAAGCTGCTCGGTCAGAGAAGTCATTGGAACGAGTCATGGGTGAGCCGGGTAGGCAAAAAAGCTCCTGAAATGCGCTTTCCAAATGGTATAGGCCAATCCAGTCAACTTCATCTTTCGCATGTTTTACAAGTGCTCTAGCAGCAGCCGCTCGAATGCCGTAGAAATACCGTCGATCCATAAGTGTACGCACGAAGATTGTCGATATTAAAGGATGTTCACGCTGAGCAGCCATGTATTGGATTGACTTCAAAGACTGTTAGTAAGAATCTTGGAACAACGACAACGAACGTAAATACCTCAAGCTGGGCGACGATGTCTCTATCTTGTTGTAGCTGAGATAGATACATATAGCCTGGCATTGTCAGTGACATTTTACATATCCACTCGAAATCAGCATCCATCCGAATCCACTCGTAAGACTCTTGGCCCATTCGGTCCTCATCTTCTTTACTCCATTCAACGAGTTTCCATGTTTGAATCTCCTCCTCCGACTGCAGAACATCCCCCAGACAATATAGTAAAACGTCGTCCTGGAGTTCCGCATTAGGATCTATGCCAGACGCGGCAGCTGCACGCTCTTTCTGCCTTTTATTGCGTTTAAGGCGTTTGTATTTGGTATTGTATGGTATGTCAAACTTAGTAACGCCCTCCTTGATCTCAACGATATGCTCATACGGGGTCCCATCCGCTTCGTGTATTCGAATGGTCATGGAGCCTGTGAACACATGCTGGACTGGGCCAGCGTAAACGTTTCTTATCTCCTCTTTAACATCTCTCATAAATGTTGACATCTCTAAATCTCGAACTGTTGGTTGTTCGGATTGAACTTGCCGAATCATCATTTCTACCACCAGCTTTTTTTTATTGAACCGTTGAGTGGCCAGAAATCGGGGACAGCCAGCACCGTACACCCATTGTTGGAAAAAAGTGTCTAGTTTTGTGTGTCCCAATCTCTCACATGTCTTTTGGAAAAAAGACGTTGCCAAAGCACCATTAGGAAGGTCGCCCATTCTGGCATTCAGGAAAATCCGAGAAATGATTCGAGATATCGTCGCCTTTCCACTAGCTTTGGATAACCTCCGTTCCAAGATGTAAAGAACAAGGGGCGCTTTCAAAGCTATAAAATCAACTTCTGAGGGGTCTAACCGCAACAGTGCACCCAAGTCGGATATAGACGGCCGTGAAATGTCAGAGTCGCAAACTTGATCTGACATCTGTTTCAGCCGATACCTGTATTCGTTATTGCCGCATAACTTTTTCATAAATGTATCCGTGATGTAGTAGGATATGCCAAGTATGGCCCATGTATCCGTTGGATCTTTTGGAATAATGCTAACCCCGATCCATTGGGAGGCTAAAGAGTGCACGAGACACCTAGTGGATTCGTAGATTGGGTCGATTATATCCTCCGGAAAGAGAACGCGGTTACTACAAATCGACAGCGCAGCCGTTGCAAATGCAGAAGAAGGGAGGTCATCGACAAAACACATTTTATAGCTGGAGAATGGATAGGACCCATAACTGAGGGAAAGAAAATCGATTGCTTTGGCCATTGGTAAACAAGTATTCCTGACTTCGTCCGCTCGTCCCGGAAGACAAAATGCATGAACAGGAACAGCATTCCGCCCGAGCTGGTCATCTTCGTCGCTCTCGCGGTATTCAGAAAGATTAACGTACTCGAAGGGTCCAACAGCAAAACCAATTTGCTGCGCGGATACAGGGCTAGTGCATGAAAATGACACCGTCTTCTTTGTATGGTCCTTTGTATCCATAATCTCATCTGTCAAATCCCCGGAACATGTCACCACCATATCTAGCGATTCGTCGTCAGGAGATATGCCCGGCTTCCTCAGAGACGGAGTCCATCCTTTTGCTGTTCCATTTACTGCATGGGACTCCCGGCCTTTAGGATAAAGCGCATCCCCCAAGGTCCGGGGACACCTTATTGAAATATCCCATGTGCACCGTGACGATATATCCTCAACGCAGGGAAACAAACAGCAGCCGCTGATTGGGTCAAAAGAATTGATCGTGAAAGTGTGTGGATAACGACGATCGCTGCTGTCAACCCCTACAAATTGTATACCATCCCTCGGGCGATTGATCGTGAATTCCGCATTTACTGTCAACATCGTGTATTTCGGTAATGAGGTCTCTGCGGCTTTTGTGCCAAGTTGGCCATCTGTTGTGTCATCAGCGCTCCCGCTGGCCCGCAGCGCAAGTTGGATTTGGGCTTCTGCAGAAAATGGGTCTAACTCTTCGATTCGCACAGATTTCGGGATTGTCACTGCCAACTCGGGCTCTGGTGGGGTTTTGAGGAGCGGCCCCAACTTCTTAGACAGTTTCTGATGTTGATGAACGCCGTACAACCGAAGGGACTGGTAGGGGTCTGCATATTTCGTGGTCGGCGCTTTTCCGCTAACATTCAAACGTTTTAGTTCACCCTGGCGGAAATTCAAGCGGATGATCTTGAGTTCCTTGTAGTGCGGTTGGATAGTTATCTCTGTTCTCCCCTTCAAGCTCTGGTTCACGAAATCTATATCGAACTCGACCTTTTGGTGAACAACGGAGTAGCCCAATCCAGCACCCGCAGGGCCTGGTGTTTCCACCAGGCCTGGCATAGTAGGCTTCAGTCAAAGGTAGCGCTGGTCGCGCAGTGAGTGTATCGCAACCTCATAGCCAGCTTCAAAAAACTGATATGACTTTTTTGCAATAGAACGAAGCGCGATATGGAGATCGTTGCAGCGCAGTATCCTAGTTAGCTGACGCTGGAGTGACTTTCGTGATTAAAACCGGGAAAGCATCTTTCCGTGACAAAGAACGCGCGATATAACGGCAATTACAGCGAAGTAGGCGAGTGGCGACTGTTGATTGAGGTCGCGGTGAAGAGGAGCCAGTAAGCGATGAAGCGGTTGTGAGCGTTGAGATGCAACTCTTTTCACACTCACTGCTCGCCCTTGCTGCAACACGACGGGATGTCACGTGGGATTCAACGTCGGCTCTCCCTTTTCACCTGATTGTCTCTATTCCCTCGTAGCCGAATAATTGTATATCCCGTGTCCTACCTTGTGACACCGCTTCCACTTTGACGTCTTGGGCACATTCTTTTTGTTGTTCAGTTTCATGAACATCAGCATGCCCTGAGTGGACTTTCCGAGACACATCCTCTGCCTAAATACCTCCTCGCTGTTCGCGACTGCAATGTACTTCCTCAAAAAAATTGCGGGTATGCATATCAGTTCTTGTGTTATTTTAGACGTGACCGAGCTAACTAACTACCACGCGCCCCTCTTTGTAGATGCCCAAGAGTCGCTGTCAGAAGATGCCTTGTCCCATTTGAAAACCTACAAGTACTCGAGCGTCGACAAGTCCTTCATATCCAGATATATCTTGAAACATTACGTGTGCCTACCCCTCCATACCGCCGTGTTTATTCTGCTGAACTAGACTGACGAACTACGATAATAGTGGAATGCGTTCGTCGAACTCCTGCCGTTATGGCTCGCCCCAAATATGGTCACGTTAATCGGCTTTATGTTCATCATCGGAAACTTAATCCTTCTCGAGATAGTTGTTCCAGATCTCGTTGGGCCGGTATGCACTTCTTCCTTGATTCTCTGTGAACTGTGGCCATTTTCAACGCTCATTTGGTGTGTACAATATAGGCGCCCGCATGGGTCTATTATAGTTTTGCGATGGGTGTTTGGATGTAGGGCATTTCCTCAGCGTACTCTTCGGCGATCATAATGCTATACAGGCTCTGACTCTTCCTAGGTACTCAACTATGGATAATGTCGATGGGAAACAAGCAAGGAGAACCGGTACCTCTAGCGGACTGGGAGAATTGTTTGAGTGCGTTTTTCCCAGCCACATATTTGATACCTATGATGCCCATCTAACTAGAACTGCCAGTCACGGGATTGACTCATTAAACTGTACCCTTGCAAGTCTTCTGCAAGTCGCAGCAATGGGTCAGGGCTCGACCAAAATTGGAGCCTTCACTACACTTCTCCCCTGTCTCCCTATGTTTTTTTCGACCTGGGAGACCTATCATACGCACACTTTATACCTTGGATATATCAATGGGCCAACCGAGGGATTGATCATTGGCGTTTTGATGATGATATCATCTGGCTATTATGGACCTCATATTTATTCAAATCGGGTAGCCGATACTTTGGGTTACCCATCCCTGTTCGGAAATTGGACCTACCAGGAGCTCTTCATATTTGTTCTCGGCTTCTCTTTTTTGACTGCACACTTCCCCGCATGCGTTTACAATGTGATACGGGTCCGTAACCGCCAAAACCTTCCTCTCCTACCCATATTCTTAGAATGGATACCGGCAATTGTCGCATCTGCCTCCGCTGTTTGCTGGCTGTATTCGCCCTACTCGTCACTCTTGAGTGCAAACAGGCTTGTGCTCTTCGCAATAACAATGTGCTTTGTGATCGGGCGCATGACAACCAAAATCATTCTAGCTCATCTAACCAGGCAACCATTTCCATACTGGACAATTCTAATAAGCCCTCTCATTGGCGGCGCCATACTAGGAAACCTCCCCAGGTTTGGATTCCCTCAGATCAGCCCCTCGCTAGAGCTGCTTTATTTGCGTGCATATCTCGTGTTTGCGTTCGTCACTTATATGCATTGGGCCTACTTTGTCGTCCACCGAATCACCACCTACCTGGGTATAAATTGTTTGACGATCAAGCACGACAAGCCGAAAGCTAGGGAGCAAGATTACCGCCAATTGGGGGAAGGCAGGATCGATGCTGGAAACTCGAGGATAGATCCATTTGCTGATTCCAGGGTCAAGGCGAACTGACAGAGTCTTGGTCGACGCGAAGTGCTTTATCAACCTGCCCACCTCTATTCGCCACCAAAATGTGGACGAGCTAAACAAAAGCCACCGTGTCGAATT